GGGTTTGGCTAGGTCAGTTGACGTATGGTTTCTAGGTGGCCGGTCTTGTAATGTTAAAACGGTTTGTCGAGCAGTGTGAGGTCTTGTATTATCACAGAGGAATAATGACTGAGGAAGAATTTCGTCATCATTGTTCGAAGTTCCTCACAATAGATATTAGATGTTTTCAAAACAATAGAATATTCAACACGTACTTCTCTATGGCACTATTTTTTTATTTTACAGTTTTGGTGCAAAGAAGTCAATATTGCAAGTAATGTAACGTCAAACAATGATCAGCTTCCACCATTTCTTCAAGTCAAAGCTTCTATTACGAGAGCGATTAGAGCAAAAACGCACAGAGCGTTCATTAGATCCTACCTTTCAAATGCAGCATTGATATTGCCTCCTCTGGGTTACCTCTACTGTCATGTCGACACTCTTATTCGAAACCTACTCTAATTTATGAGGCCTCTTAAATAAAATTCTGAATATTGAATTAAACAAAGTAACAATGACTTTACATTTTGTACTTAATAGGGTATTTTACGCCATGTAAAAAAATAAAAAAAATATATTTATAATAGATTTTGTAAAAAGTAAACGAGAAATATTGGTTTCTATTTATAAAATTGCATTATAAATTTTATATTTCAATTTTAAGAATATTTTTTTGCATGTGCCTCAAATCTGCAAAACGCTGTCCGCCATATTATAACTGTCGTGACGTCACTGATCCCGTCCTGGGTATTAGTTATGGAGTGTAGAGGTAACACTCCATAGTATTAGTGTTCTATGTCACTGATTAAGAGAACTAGCTAAAGTGCTGTATTATTGCGAAATTTTTCAAGTTATGCCTAATAAGTGGTAGGTTCCTAAAATTCTCTAGTTCTATATTTGAAAGCCCGTTTACTTTTCGTGAGCTACAGTAGTATCTTTTACTAAGTAGTACTATTTATTCTGTGATTTTGCTCAGCCATTCGGTCGCGTTAGTACTAGGCTACGCTACCACCTCGACTTTTGACGGGAACGGATTCGAAGCTTTTTCTTTTTTAATTGCAAGGTATGTTAAATAACTAAAAACAAGTACGATTAGATTAAATATAGATTTGTGATATCTGTATAAAGTTACAGCCTATATATACACGTCTCACTCCTGGGCACAGGCCTCCGCATTTCTGAGAGGGTTTTAGGGCAAGGAATTGTCCGCCGCGCTGCCCTAATGCGTGTTGGCAAACTTCACATGTCTTCGAAATATTTTTTTCTTATTTCTCAGACATGCAGATTTCCTCACGATGTTTTCCTTCACCGCCGAGCACGTGGTCAATCAGCACTTAAAATTGCAATTAATAATTTCATTAGTGCCGGCGGGGCTCGAACCCGGTTTTCTCGCGAACTGTGAAATTTACAGCGGGCACTAACCATCTGAGCTACCACGGCTTCATAATATAAAACATATCTATACAGATATATACACAGATAGATATAGATATCTGTGTAAGAGTGAATTTAATATTCCAATTAATTTCATTGTGTTTATTACGTATAACAACACACTTGCACCTGCACTGTCGGAGGTCTTAGAAACAAAACTACAAACTGCTATCAAAGGACAAACGATTTCATGGCCTACTATATATATTTATATAGCCTGCTTATTTATACTATAAGATCAGCATCGTGAAGAAAGAATTAAAAAAAAGAGTTTCGGCGGGAAATTGACTGTCGATGCATTGACGCGCAAAAGTAATTCGGTTTTGTGAATTAAGTGTCTACGCATGTGAACTATTAGAGAAAACGAAAACAAGTGCTTCGATTTTGATATAAACCTCAAGTTATTTTGATCGCTTAGGCGGCTTATGAACTCAAGTAACTGTCTTCATCGACTGTCCGCTGGGTTGAGCTGTCGTAATCTCCCAAAAACTTCGCAATGTGACGCATCAGCATATTGTGAAGAAAAAATTTATAAAAACGTATATCCCGAATGCAATGAAGACATGACTTAAAGGGCAAGCATTCAAGCTAAAAATCTTAATTAAAAAAAGGAAGTGGATCTTGCGGATTAGTATACTAATCGTAAGACGTTTGTTTGACAGTCGTGGTGTTCTTTATCATCTTTATAATTATTATGCATCATCAATCAATTTCACAAAATCAAGTAAATCACTTTAAAATGTAAATTTGCTGATTAATTTTATTCACGTATTTCTGATAAAAAATATAACGTTTTTGCTATGGCCTCAAACGAACATCTTAATTGCCCGCAGCACGTGATTTCGATCCTAAGAATTCACGTGAGTCACCTTGGTTATCAAATCGTTTTAAAGCCACTCACAAACTGTTGCTCACAAACAGAAAATCACACCGTATAGTATATGATGTGTAATCGACTAATCAAGAACGTATACCTAACTGTAAAAATTAAAAAAAAACTAATAAGAATTGTCAAATAATGGAGGAGGAAGAAAACCACCACTCCTTTTCGTTTTGTTTATGCAATACTAGCTGTCCTCTGCGACTATGCCCGCGTGGAATTTATTATGATACGATAAGAGTATTGATAAGTTCGTAATGTAAAAAATCCATCTATTGATTGTTAACGTGATTAATAAAAAATAATCAGTTTTTACTTATTATGTGCTACGATTAAATTTGACCATCGAGATTTTACGATGTTTTTTTATTCAATGAAATGATGCCTTATTAAACTTAATATTACGTGTGGTGCTCTCTTGACCTGACAACGCCTTGTATCATTTACGGTATATTAAGGCCCGGTTTACATTTTGAGAAGTGACAAGTGCGAGTGACAACTAACAAGTTGCAAATGAGAAGTGACAAGTGCGTATTTTATTCACACTTATCACTTGGCACTGCCTGTTCACACGCACTAAGCACTTGTCATTAGTCACTTGTCATTGTCACTCGCACTTGTTACTTCTCAAAATCTAAACCGGGCTTAAGGATGATATTTTTATCATATGCTCCCACACCGCGGTTTTACTCTTTTCTCAGTTCTTTGAGGCGTGAATTATACAGAAGCGGCATAACGCGAAGGCACGGCACAGCACGGCACAGGCATGATGCTACTTCAAAACTGTTTCATATAAAATGTATGAAAGCGACATATCGTGAATTGTACTCAAGCAGCGTAGCACAGACATGCCTCTTTTATCTGTTCCACTCTTGCGCTGTGCCTGTGGAATATCTACCTAGCCCTTATACCGTTCTGTGTAATTTGCGTTTAACGTTTTGTAGAACTGGTTGGTCGCCGACCTTGGGCGGCATTTAAAGACGCAATCACGATCGGGTCGATCGATAGAGGTCGAGTATTCATCTGATTGGCTAATCTAATCGATGAATCCTAATCTCCTACATAAACACGTCATCATCTTCAAAATGATGCGCGGAACGATGTCAAACATATAAATGTCTTCCTCCCATAGCAAGTTTTCAATCAATGTAATGCTTGCAAAAGTATAACCTCTGTTGCAACAAGTGGTAAAATTAAAAATTTTGTACAACCGACTTCAATATAAATAAAATGAGAACATCATCAGTGTAGTTGAAGTCAATTAAATACGCATTATTAAGGATAATAAGCACCAGCTTTCAAATAAAAGAAGAATCGCCAAAATCGGTTCACCAAGAAAAAAGTTCGGGTAGTAACACACAAAAAAATACACCCGAATTGAGAATCTCCTTCTTTTTTTGAAGTTGGCTGAAAAAAAAGGTTTCGTAATAGAAACGAAAAAGAAAATGAAATCACTCCATTATATTGAGGACTGGAGACTCGCCGCGGCTTCGTCTATTCTAATGTATGCCACATTAACAGATCCGGCTCAGACCCGACCCATTTCGATTTTTGATAATCATCAAAACCTTTTCATCCGTTTCCGATTTTTAAAAAAAAAACAATTATCTTCTGAGAACATAGCCTAGATTACTCTCACCAGTGCTATCGGTTTAATTATGAAGAATAACCCGAACGGAACCACAGACTAAAAATGTTAAAAATGTTTATTCATGTCTAAATAGCAAGCAAATAATCCACACAGCTTAAAAGAAGCCTTTACTTTTATTGATATGTATATGTAATAGATGTTTGTGTAATACAATGAAATTACTCTATCATATAAAATAATTAATCTTCGTTTCTTTTGTTCTTTTATATGTCATATGAATTCCATTACTTACGGTATGTATTTTATCAGAGTTATACACGAGTTTTTAACCTCTAAATATTCGCTCACATCTTAGCCGAGAACCGCATCGAGTGGTCACTAAACGTCCCCGCCACAAGTCATTTTGGGGGAAATTGGGAGATTAATATTAAAAGTAATGTATGAATAAAGTAAAGTATAAATGTACAATATAGTATACATTTGTAGTAAGTAATAGAATTCATATTATTGATATTAAGTCTGAACAAAAAAGTTAAAACAGCTTTTTAGATTTCTAAATTTTCTAAATTTGTTGTGAAACATACCGAACTGCTTTCTGTAGTTTAGTTTAATTAACTTGATGCTAAGTTTAAATAGCGTTACTCACACTTCTATCAATTTTATACTCGCATACTGCTTTATTTGAATTTCTATGAAATCGAAATCTGAAGATGTATATGAGAAAGAAAGAGTAGACATTAATAAAAAGCACATATTCGAATTACATAAAACTATATCTAATATCATTTCCTGCGTAACAATTATACAAATTAAGCACTTAAGAAGTCGTAAAATTAAAAAATTGTACGTCTGACTTCAATATAAATTAAAATGTGAATAACATCAATGTATTAGAAGTCAATTAAAATACGCATTATTAAAGATAACTCAAAAACTGCTGGTCAGAACTACAGGTCAGGGACCACACGAGAAGCACCAGCTTTCAGACAAAAAAGAATTATCAAAATAGGTTCACTCAGAGAAAAGTTAAAAAATAAACATACAGTCGAATTGAAAACCTCCTTTTTAAAGTCGGTAAAAAATAAGAAAAATAGGAAGTCATTTGGTTGTACTCACATTTGCTTTTACGTATTTATGAACACCATATTTTGGGTCGGTTAAATTTGCTGGAGGCACCAATCTCAATTTTAAGTCCCAAGGATTTCTAAACGGATTCTTCAAATAGGCGATAGCAAACAACACAAGCACTAATACGCTGTGATACAAGGTAAGAGCATTCGATACTAAAAAAAATTTGATATTCGTAATGACACTCATTTTTAGATAATCACTGTATACACGCAAATAAGAAAATAATGTTCAACGTCCGCGGCATAAAACGTCGCGTAGTAGACTGACAGGACAGACTTAGCAACGACGCATTTATTAAAAATCTGTTCACAAAAATGCTCTTATTTATAGTGTAATTTAATGGTCTAAGTGTAAATGGTACCTACACTATACATAGCGCAACGCAAAAATGCAAACGAATAGCTTAGGTTTATTAAGATTGAATTCTATTTGAATTTTTTGCGAAGACCCCAATTCTTTTTCGAAAATAAAGATGACTAAGTGAGGCTAAGTTACTCCTTATAACATCAGCTATCTGCCAGTGAAAGTCCTGACAAAATTGGTTCTGCCATTTCGGAGATTAGCCGGAACAAACAAAAAAAAACACAAAAATTTAAAAAATTGTTATTTGTTTTAAAAATATTTCATATAGCTGTGCCCCGCGGTTTCACCCGCTGATATCACGTGTCCGCGCCGCGCGACGTGACATGACACCTCGCTCATTTAGTTCAATCATTTTAGCTTAAATTGGCAAAATTAATGTAGTACTTTTATCTATCGGCATAGGTATGCACTTTACACTATCCGATCTCTCTCCCCCTTACGGATGAACGTCCCAGAAAGTGCCCAAAGGCGCGTTTTTTCAGTTTCAAAACACGGTGTATGAAAAGTGTGGAGATACGAAACGATTGATGTAATTTGAACACAAAAGCTACTATTGTGACTTAATCAGTTAAGTAAAGTAAAGTTAGATATATTCCTTACGCGGACATTTTTGCAGGTAATAATGAGTACTTTAATCATGTACGAGTAGCTCATAATTTTTATGTATCATCAAGTTTTCTCAGTGCACGCCAAATAATTTTGCTACTTTGGGTTAAAATTTTCTTAAAGATCTCCTTTTCTAAAGAAAATTATAGCCTATATTTTTTGTGATAATTCAGCTTTCTATTGGTGAGAAAATTATTAAAATCGGTGTATTAGTTTCGGAGCTTATTCGGTACAAACAAACAAAAAAAAACCTTCTTCGTCATAATATTAGTATAGATAATGAATTTTTTGTTATTAATTTTTACTTATTTTTTGTTCTTTTTTAATTTTTATTGTTTTATTTTTATTAGAAATATTATTTGTAAAAAGATAATATCTACAAAACATAAGCCATTAAATTTATTAGTTCAGAGCTTTCCTGTATAATTATAATTAATAAGTAGCCTCATCCCATTGCACATGCTCGGGGAGCTTAAACTTCTCAAAAGCATGATTGGCGTTCTGATTTTTAACGTCAATTCGTGTGGTGGCAGTCTAGAAGGGTTTAGTGAATTTAAAAACTCCTCAGGGTAATGGACTGTGTCATCGATATTAGTCACGGTGTAAATCGATTTGTAATTTTTTAATCGGCCGGGGACTTTTTAAATAATCATATTGTTTCTTTCGTTGACAGTATCAATCCTAGCAGACACTATAGCTCTAGAACGCAACCAATTAAAGTCCTTTTGTTGCAAATTCTCGATATCAGGGTATACTGCATCTATTAAAATTTCTAAATTATGGACTATTTGGCCTAGAGACTGTTCTAGAAGGACGTCACAATTTCTGCTTAAATTAGGAGTGGGAAAAATATCTTCCCCAAGTTTTAGCAGTTCTTGTGGGAAATCACTATCTGTGATTCCATGAATATGAGCGCTCATATTTGTCCGTAATTTTAAATTTTTCAATCGAAGTCCATAAGGGAGACGATTTCAAGCATGCTTTGACGAAATCTGCTCGCGTACCTCTGTTATTGACGGGAAGTGTCTGTCGGAAATCTCCTAGAAATACGAAAGTGATCCTGTCCATGAGAGCAGATAAGTTTCTAAGATCTATTAAGATTCTATCCACGGTCTCTATATGTGCCCTATGGCTCATGGTGCATTCATCCCACATAATCAATGAGGCGTCTTGTAGTAATTTACCAAGGGGCCCATTTTTGCGGATAGAACATGTAAGTTATTGCTCAATAGTTACAGATAGCGGAAGTTTAAAAGTAGAATGAGCAACTTATCCATTCTTTAAGAGAGTTGCAGCAATTTCTGACGAAGTAACTGCTATTGCTCTCTTCCCTGATTGTCGTGTTTTAGCAATTATCAAATAGGGAGCGCTAACTTCGAGAGAGGCATCAACACGGCTGGTTGCTGAATTAACAAAAATTTTAAAAGTGAAAATTTTTATTTATATTACATTGTTAATGTAATTGGTGGTTATATATCCTATACCTTTAAACGAGCAATTCTTGTATATCTTAATGCACACCGTGTGCAGTTTGATTCAATTTGAGAGATAGGATAGTTTTTTTGCCCATGAGTGATCCGCATTTTTTTTGCGAATTTAAGGATTTTTAATAGGACATGACAAAGGGTCGTTGAAAAAGGCAGAACGACATCTGCCTGGCAAGCTAGTATATAGTAGTATATATATAGTAGTACGAATAATGTGACCTAGTTTTGTACCGGCGTTACTATTGCATATATTAACATGAAAAAGTATTTATTGTGACATAACTGTAATAGTTAGATATATATAATATCGCAGATTTTTTGTAGATATTGATGTCCTATATAAAACTGTTACATATCACTTTGCTCTATTGTCAACAGTTTCCGCAGCGTACGCGATATACGGATTTTTCGACGTTAAGATTGCATATTTTAACATGAAAAAGTAGCCCTAACTTTTTTAATATACTATAGCCTATGTTCATCAGGGATAATGTATGACTCCAATGGTGAAAGAATTTTTCAAATCGGTCCAGTAGTTTTGGAGCCTATTCAATTCAAACAAACAAAAATATTATAGTGTAGATAGGTACCTCAAAGCCATTATAAACAAAGGTATATATACAATATCTTAGAGGTACCTAAGTACTTGTCTAAGGCTTGTAAAAAGTGAGTAGTATATTTGGAGCTTTTTCGGTGCTCATTAATTAACAAATTTCATTAAAATCATATCAATTAATAATATATTGTATAATTTGAATTATCTCCAGAAGTTCGATTCCCAAACCCAGTCCCAAGGAAATTTAAAAAAGTTGCAAAGTTGCAAATTATTGTATATATACATCATCATTATCATCATCATCATCATACATCATCATCATCATTACAGCCCTTCACAAGTCCACTGCTGAACATAGGCCTCCCCCAAGTAATGCCACAAAGCACGGTCCTGAGCCACCTGCATCCATCGACTTCCTGCATGTCTTACCAGGTCGTCACTCCATCTAATGGGGGGTCGCCCTACACTACGCCTACCGATACGAGGCTTCCACTCAAAAACCTTTCTTCCCCATCGATTATCGGTTCTTCGAGCTATATGGCCGGCCCATTGCCACTTCAGCTTACTAATCCGTTGGGCTATGTCGGTCACTCTAGTTTTACTGCGGATATGCTCATTTCCGAGTCTATCACGCAGAGAAATCCCGAGCATAGCCCTCTCCATAGATCGCTGAGCGACCTTTAGCGTCCTCATACGGCCAGCAGTGAAGGACCACGTCTCCGATGATGATAAATGACTTCACCTGCAATAAAGAAAACATCGTGAGAAAGCCTTTCAGATAAAGATAATATTAAAATTTTGTGGTTACAGAGAGGCTTGCTAACCGTAGTGAACGGATTTGCGGGAAAACTCTTGTATCACGTCCCGAATTTTGATCACAATTTCCCATTGAGCATTTTCTTTGTGTAGTTATTACGAAGCGCAACGTATCATAAAATATGAATATCTATATTCTAACCAATATTTTTAAAGTAACTTTGATAGTTCCGAATGAAAATTAAATATTATAAGTCATAGACCTAATTGTAATAAAACACCATTTTGATAGCAATCGGAATAACCCGCGGTATTCTCTGTATAAAAAAAGGTAACATTCAGGTTTTGAAAGCCGTAATTGAAATAAAATTAAGCGTGTTATCCAGAGCATATTACATAAATAATAATACCATTTACTCAAATAAACATAGGAAAAATAATTTATCGCACAACTTAAATTTACTTCCAAGTAATTTATCTTGTGTCTTCGAAATTTCTGTCGATATTACCCCAATGCACCCTACATAATACAACTTTTACGAATTAAACTCAAGGGTAATAGGAAAACTGATTTATTGGATTCGTGTCGTCCACAATTCACATTCCAAGATAAATATTATAATAACGTAGCTGGTACTTTTAACTTAAATTATAATACAGAATTATTATGAATAATTTAAATAAAACTATTTTGGCGAATAACTTATCTCGTGACCAGAAGCCACTGCCTACTCCAACAGGAATGACGCTCAGACCGCTGGCTCCATCTCAAAGTAAAAACGTGTCCCCTATCATTTTTCTTAACTTGCTTCTGATTGGTGCGTGTAGGAATTGTCAGTTTCAAACCAACCAATCAGAGACAAGCAGATTTACTACCAATTTGACCGGAAATACGTATTCATTTTAGCAACTTATTGAAAAATAGATTGAATCATGACATTCGGCCATCCGCCGGAGTGCAACTCCTGGTGCACACTCAATATTAACATACATATATGGTATTTAATAATTATCTAGCAATTAAGGTCTACAATCGATCAACCAAATGCAGAAATATAAAATAAAATTACTCGATCACCAAATAGCACATACAACCAATTTTTGTTTTTGCACAGTTTACCGCATAGAGATGGACAGTTGGTTGTTTACTTTACAAATAACTGACCCTGATATTTCTCGAATATCAAAAGTTCACAATCCTGATAACGAAGCCAATTGAGTACCCGGACGGTATTCGATGTTGAATGAAAATGCACTAATTGGCAGCCACCATCTAGCTATGCGTGGAAGGTCGCGTTTAGTAAGAGTTGTCCTAAGAGCATGAAAATCAGTAACTACTTTAAAGAAGATACCTAAAAGGTACACTCGGAATATTTTTAAAGAGCAGACTATAGCCAGCGTCTCCAGCTCATATGAAAGTAAGTGGCTCCAGAGACGACGTACCTCTCTTAATTCTATTAACGTTACGAATATCTCTTTCGACAAAAGAATTAGCCCTAGCTAAAACTGTATTTGGCTCAAACACAAGAGGATCAGAAGCGAAACTTGTTATTATTAAATGTAAAAATTGACATCGTTTTACGTTCACCCTCAGGATTCGGTTTTTTTTATCTATCTGTGCGAATAGTTAATGGATCAAGTTTGCAGCTTACAAAATCATGACCTACTCTATGGCACTCTGACACTTGGTAATGGGTTTGGGATATTTGTAAAATTAATGTCCTTTTTCCTTACAATTAAAACAGGTGATATTATCAGATGAAGATGTAGCAGAGTTAACGAGTTTATTCTCGGAAGTGCTTTCCAATCGCTTTTTTGAAAGTTGAAAAGAATCAGAGACGCGTTGCGAACTGAGATAATTTAACAACTCTTCTGGTTCCCTACAGCTTGATACCTGAGCACCATTCCTAACCGATTTATCAGTAACACACAGTACAGTAACAGTACACAATCTACGACTTTCCTTCCCACAATTTCACATCGATTTATTAAGGTCAGTTTGTTATATAAATACTCGCGTAAGTTTTCATTAAAACGTGTTGTACGATTAAGCATTTCTTCGAGTAGCCGACCATAATTTTGCTCATAAGGAAATGCTCCAATCACTCCAACTATAAACTACCGTGGGCAAAGCCTCTAACCATTTTTTTGCAAGTCCTGTTAAAGTCCTGTTCTGCAAAGCAAAATGAATGGTTTTCTTCTTGTCCCAGTCATAAATATTACTACATTCGTTGACTTTATTTAACAAACTATCTTTACTTTGACTTTTACTGGATGGATCAAACTCCGGAACAATATTATTTAGCTGGTTACTATTCAGTCTTTGAGAATTCTCGCTCTTATTTAAAAATGAAATCAGCTTGGCTACCTCGTCAGCGGAAAGTGCTGTATGTGCATCCGATGAGGGTACCTTGAGAGGTGCAGGTGTAAGATTCTCTGGTTGCACCTCCGCTCCAGTGTCTACCTCCTAGATGACCCAAGACGCCATCGCAGCTACGTCAAGACCTCTTCGTTTTCGTGGTGCAGACGATGGAACAAAAGTACTTTTCCGCTTCCTGCTGCAGTTTCTTAGCCGATCAGGATTCATCCTCGAAAACAAGATCAAGAATTAGATTTTTTTTAACAATAAAGCTCATATTCACTCAAGTCAGATTCCCTGGAATTCTTTTGTTTTGAGGACTGTGGGATGACCTAATCTTGGTCTTGAGGCATTAAGTTTCTTAATATTTCTGTTTAATATTTAGTTAAGTTTTCTGATATTTTATTTTTATTACCCTTTTGAGAAGAAACGTATCATTAAAATTAATAATGATAAGAGTTGTGTCATAATATAAAGGAATTTATCTCATTAAGGAGGACAAGATACATTCAAATCAAACTGACAAGTACCCAATTAAAATTAGGGTTAGGAAGTTTTTTTTTGCAAGTGAGGCGTCAGTGTATCATTCACGCCTCCCCGACCAAAATTACCAGAGACCGTGTACACTGTGCCACGAAATCCAAACTAACATTTCTATTTTGTCGCAAAAAAGCAATCAATTTATCAAGTATGTCAAAAGGGCCATAAGCACTTAAATGTAAAAAAAAATCAATTGTACATACCTTCAAACAATGTGGGCAGCAGAGAATAATCCCACTTCTGAAATTTTACGAATTAAACTCAAGGGTAATAGGAAAACTGATTTATTGGATTCGTGTCGTCCACAATTCACATTCTGAGATAAATATTATAATAACGTAGCTGGTACTTTTCAACTTAAATTATAATACAGAATTAATATGAATAGTTTTAATAAAACTATTTTGGCGAATAATTTATCTCGTGACCAGAAGCCACCGCCACCGCTACTCCAACAGGAATGACGCTCCGACCGCTGGCTCCATCTCAAAGTAAAAACGTTTCCCCTATCACTTTTCTTTACTTGCTTCTGATTGGTGCGTGTAGGAATTGTCAGTTTCAAACCAACGAATCAGAGACAAGCAGATTTACTACCAATTTGACCAGAAATACGTATTCATTTTAGCAACTTATTATTGAAAAATAGATTGAATCATGACACAACTAAATATTAACATTTAGAAACAGCATGGTAGCGATAACCTCATTTCCAGTGTTAATATAAATCATGTATTATTTATTTTTCAACAGCTTTATTATTATTATTTTATATTATTACTTTTTGATAGATAGATTACTAATAGATAGATCATATTCTGGGTCTTTGTTGTAAAAGCATTTACGTTGTCGTTGCTCCATGAAGGAATGGTTTATTAAAATAATACACAAAATATTGAAAATGTTTAATTAAATAACACAACTTTATACGGTATTTTATAGATTCACAATTCTAAAGAACGCTTAATTAAACAATAATAATACTCATAATAATAATTTTTATTGACTTAATATCATGTAACCTACAAGTAACCTATGAAGCCTCTGAATCCCAAACTAGGTAAAAACCTGTATGTCAGGATTCAGCACCTTCTCTTATGTTTCTTAGCCTAATTAATTTATGTCAAGACAATTTTCCAGAGAGTGTGTATGTCATGTTAAGTGGAATGTGTGTATTACATTTATGCTTCCCTTATTTTAGTAATTTTTCATTATCCACATAGTTTAATGTAACTTGCCAGTTCCTTAGTTTTAGTTTGACATTCGTGAAGTGATAGTGGATAAAATTTTTGAATTTTATTAACTTAACAGTAAAGGTGTCCAGAAAGAAAACTTCTTTATCGCCCTGCTAATGCGGTACAGCACCTTATGGATTTTGTTCCAAGAATTTTAA